TAGTATCTTCTTCAACATCAACTCAAGGCCATCTAGCCATTATTTTAGAAACAAATGGATCACAGAACATGAATAACAAACAACTTGTTTGTTCCATTTCCCTCATCACCCATTGGTGTTCTTGTACATACTTCCTCTCTGAAACAATACCACAGCATTAGGTTACAGATTATATTTTTTCTGTTTTTCCTTAATACAGGAAATATAATGGTTATGATAGTTTTGTCACACAGTGGTCTGTTTTGCTGATACTAAAACATTCGTGAGGCAGCCTATTCACTCTTATTACTTTTGTCACAATACAATCCACCCTACCATTGCAGGGTTTGGTCCTTTAAGAGATTGCCAAACAGCCAGTACAATACATTCACTTGAAACATATGAGACTGCTTTTAGTTAAATGATGAAATTGTCCAACTTAGTGGGCAGAATACTGTCCACATGCTTTCCATGAACTCTTGGTAAGTAAAATAGCTAAAGATTTATTTTATTAACAAAACATAAACATCAAAAGAAGGCATTTGGAATTTCCCCTTCCCAAGCTATTAAGTAAAATGTCTGAATTGTTTAGCTTCTATCACATTTTTATTAGATAGATATATCCCATCTTGCTACAAAAGGATGCATCTACAAAGTGACTAACATGGATAAAACCTGTCCATTAAAGTAATTATACAAAAAAGAATCAACCACCAATGTATGTTGAGGAAATGGTTCATCAGAGAAAATGTGGAAGAATGTACATGGTTGCTGTGACCCACAGATAAGAAAAAAGTTTCGAGTGTGCTTGTTCATAACCATGAGATGCATGTCAAAAAGTGTCAATTTCCTTATTTTCTAAAGCAACCATGTATAAATTCCTTGAGTTCTCAAACAAAAAGGCAAATATCCTGTCACCCAAAATAAGCAACAGAAGTCACATATATAATTAAACTGTTGATCAATCAGGATCAAGAAGGCACACCAAAGGTGTATAGTGTTGCATTTCACATTGTTCTTTCTTAATGTATCTTAATTATATTAATTTCTTGCATGGAAGACAATAAAAGTTTTCCTCAATCTCTCAGGAGGAATGCCTCTTCTAGGTGTGTTCCTGTTCCACACATGCCTCTACTGTCTAGATGCAATGCAAGTATACTTCCTCCAGAACTATTTTTTATTCATAAACTATACAAATCATATCAATTTATTCAACTACAACTTCATTGATCTATTGAAATTGCTTTAACTGGGTGACAGCCCTATTTATTTTAAAACTTCTGTCAATACACATATCATCTTAGTTTTATGGATTAGCCCAAATGCAATTTCTTAGTCTTCAAGATAAAGTAACAAGACCAGTGATCCTTGATGAGGAAACTGATTGCAGAGAAGATGTTCATAGCACAACCTACAGAATAAGAATAGGCTCATGTCTGAGCATGATAAGGATGCAGGCAAGGAATCCCTAATGGCCACAGAGCACAATGAGCTCCTGAGGGTTATGGCATTTGCAGAGTTTGGGATTGGTATTGGGACATTCTGGTAGGTGCTAAGGGGGATTCAATTTGCTGTCTAACGCTTGGTCAATTTGCTTAATCACTTCTTTAAATGTCTGGAGGGACTCACAATGTCAGCCCATTAACAGCTTTTAGAAGTCTTCAGTCTCTGTTTAAATGAGAGAAGTGCAAACAAGAGAAGGAGTGGTTGCTAGATTTGCCTCCTAGTCCCAATTCTTTAATTCCAAAATTTACAGTCAAGTGCCTCTCCACACCTCCTAAGTCAGTCCTAATGGCAGATATATTCTTTCTGAACTACTCATTAATGAAGTGTTTAAGGAGACTACCATGTGTTTTTCCCCATTTCCCTAAACAAGTTTTTACAAGACATACTTTCAACATTGGGTTAAAAGAAAGTATTTTTTATTTACTCTACAACTCAACTTTAGCGCACTCAGTCACAAGTTATCCATCCCTGCACTATTATCCATGCAATCCATTGTTTTAATATATAGAATACATTACAGATTGATGATACAAGATACTGTGTACCTAGTTTAAAAGATTCATACAATATTAATAACACCTTATATTAAGTATAACCAATGAAAAATATATCTGAACTTACAAAGAAACAGAGGGAGTGAGAGAGGATCTCCCTGGCCATCTAGTCTGACCCCCAGCTCAACTCATGTAATCCTCCGTGATTACAGGATACCCAGAGGTAAAAAAGTATGTTTGCAAACTTTAACATTTACTCTTCCATTCTTGCAAATGTTCTACAAAGATGATATAAAGTCATTACTAATTTAGGACACAATCCTCTGGCTGATAGGCACTGTCTAGACATCCTTAGGAAAATTCAGAACTGCTGTCACTGTGCATGTAGTTCTTTCACCACCAGATGCTGCACCCAAGTTGCAAGTGCAACTGAGGCGGGCGATGCAGGCGAGGTGGAGGAGCAAAGGTCTGCTGTGAAACAAAGAAGCACAGGTCCCTCAGCCCCTCCTCCTCATACGCAGAGGTAAAACACTTAAGATGCCCAAATACAGCCATCTAAATTTTTGAAGGGGAAGAGAAGCACAGAAGCAATTTTCACCTCCATCCTCTAGTCCTCCATTAGATGCCCATCATCCTCCAAGTTCAGAGAGCTATAAGAAACCACACTGGATAATGCTTTTAAGATGTTAATTTAAAAAATGGTGCAACTCTATGGAGGAACCCTGTTGTGTTTGAAGCAAATTCTAGACAGCTGAATGTTATAGAAGGCTTTTTATTATTCATTTTAAAATAATACTGCATTGAGATCAATGGTGTTTGGTTCCTTATTTTGGTTTACCAATTGTTCAACCTATGGTCATTCCAGTTAAAGTCAATGCAGACAATATGAGTTATATCTGATTTTAGACCTACATATAATAGATGTACTTAAATTTAGGGACTTTAATTGGGCTATTTTCACATACAACCCATTGTAGCCAATTTTTTAACCACAGGTAATGTCCACTGGCTCATTCACTCACATCTGCCATCTCCCACATTAACTTCCTACTCCCTTCTCTTGTCAGAATTCCATCAACATTAACCAGAATGTTGCAACCAGGACTAGCAAGGCGGCTTTAAGGATGCCTTTCAAAATTTGGTTAAAAGTTAACCTTGACTAGCATTGATACACCACTATGCATCTGCTGGCAAAGAGAAAGTTCACAGAAAAGTAATACACAACCCACTTCCAGTCTTTCAACCATGGTTAAGAGATCACAGTTACATCTGCACCAAGATTTAAAGTGTTGTATTACACTTCGTGTTTATTTACAACAGTTCTTACTGAACTTACAGAATGTGAAACACTTCTGAAAATTTTCTTCCAGTAGATAAACCTTTATATGCACATGAAGGTATGCACAGGCATCAGCCCCACTGCAGAACATGCCTCCAAGTAGCACAAATAAAATGTTTACAAAAAATTACTCCCAGCCCAACCAGATTAAAAGAAATGCACACTGTCAATGCCACCCTGTGGTGCATTTGTTGTGGCCATATAACATGCACAGGCAGCAACTTCCAGAAACTGCTTTGATAAATCATATTATTTAGACATAAAAATGTAAGCAAAACTGTCCTGGATCAGACAAAAGACCCACAGAGTCCAGCATTCTGTTTCCAGTGACCTAGCATATGCCTATGCACATTCCATAAGCAGCCACAAGCACAACAGCTATTGTAAAGAAAATTTATTTTGATTCCTTTCCTAATGATCACTAACATGGCATTTACCTTTTTCACAGCAACCACACATTAAGCCAAAGTTTTCATCAAACTATCCACCAAAACCGCAAAATCCGTTTCATTGTTAATCACCACCAGCTCACACCAAGGCATCTTTGGCTGTTTGTCAGAATACTAGTTTGCAGAGCAGCCTCTCTCAACAGTGAGCCCTCAATTTTTTCCCCACTATATTCCCCATTATTCCCATTCACCGTGGCCAATGGTCAAGGATAATGGTAATTCAAGTTAAACAACATCTGGAAATCTAAGACTGAGAAACATTGCTGTAGTGTTGAGTAAATTCTGTGCATGTGCTCTGGAATCTCTGAAGAATGCAGAGGATTTTGAGTATTGTTCTAAAATTCACATTAATTTTAGACAGAACTGCCTGTTAAACGTCAGTGAAAGCCTGTATGAACTGAGTGCAACCCAGAATATATCCAACACTCCTCTGTCAACTTACAGTATAGGAAACTTGTAGCATGATGTCTTGGGAACCACGCTAACCTTCCATAGGACACAAGCACCTCTTCAAACATGGCTTTAAAACAACTAGTAAAAACATAACATGTGTTCAAGTAACTGGTTAGCTTATAAAATTAGTTCTCTTTTATTTTATTTGCACTCCTACAATATTCATCTTCCTCATAAGAGTTTTATATGACTCAGTAGTTACTGGAAATAATTTATTGGGATTATTCACTTCCACAACATATGTGGTATTTTTTCTTAAATACAATTTGATCACCTGAATTTTAGGTATATACACACCCACTCTTTCTGTCTTTTACCCAGTATTCTAGGCACAAAAAAATGAACTCCACAGAAAATTTAAGGAACTATTATGAAATCTTCACATTTCCTTAAATTCTCCTTAGAAGCAGTCTAAACCACTTGAAGTAGGGATGGGGGAGAACAAGCAAAAAAGCTGGTAAAAATTTAAAAAAATATCTTCAACTGACAATTGTAAAATATCATCTGTGTTATAAATCATTGTCAAAAATTGAGCAGAAACATTACACAAAAGATTGCCTATCTTCAAACACCCTATCTCCTACAGAAGAGATATCTAGCATTCCATGTAAGCAAGCATTTCCCTCAGATGATGTTTATTATCTTGGGATATCAGCTGTAAAACAAAACTTCAATGGGGCAAAAGGGCACCACAGAACTCCATCTATCTCAATTCTCCTTCACAGAAGAGGAAGGAAAACTTTAATCACACCATGTCTCACACCAAAACAAAGCACTTACTGTGCGAGCACCACTTGGGGACAAAGTTCCACTGGGCAGGTATGGGCTTCCCAGCTCTGGGATCATCAAGAAGGGGTAGCTTGGATAAGGAGGTCCCTTAAAGAAGCCTCCATCTTGCTGTCTTCTGATTACTAGGGAAGAAAGAAGACACATAGCTAGAGACATTCAAACAAATGCAGGAGAATTTGAAAGCTTTAAGTTTTTTTTTAACATCAGGATTCTTAAGGGACTAGCTAGAATTACAAGTCAAAGAGAAATTAGTAGTGAAATTCATAAACCATGTAAGCCTGCATAAGACTTTTATGTACCCTATTTTACAATCAATCTCCACTCTGGACTTAAAACAAATTTACTTGGAACAAATAGAATGTAATTCAAAGATACTATGCCCATGCAACTTAACTGTATGGTGTTTTTTTCTATGCATTTCAGTGGGACTTACCAGTAAGAATGGCTTACAAGAACTAGCATGGCTTACAATCAGATGTGATGGGAATTACAGTCCAAGTACATCTGGAGAGTTACAGATTTCCCAACCCTACATTTAAGGCCATAATTTTAAGCAAAGACATCATGCTTGTTAACAGCTGGTTTCCTGGGGTGCCTGAACATTGCCTTCAGCCAATCAAACAAGAAATCCTTACAAAACCAAATAGCCCCTTTTTTCCTTTAAAGACATAAATTACTAACAAAATCATTAGAGAGATACAAGCTCTGAAAACCTTATTCGGGACACATTTGCAAGGTTGACCTGCATCAATAAGCTACATGTAATTCAGTTGGGTATATGGGCCAAAGGCAGGTAGATGCTGACATCACTGTATTCTAGAGTAATTTATCCAGAATAACTGCCCTCCATAGTCATACAATAAGTAATATTGATTATAACCTCCTCTAAGAACTAACAAATACATATTTAGATTATAACCCTAAACACACTTACTAAGGAGTAAATCTAACTAAACTGAATAGGTTTTTTCCTGAATGAAATGCTTAGACTGCACTTTAAATTTCTTTACAGGGCATTTTACACACATTTATTCCCAAATAACCCCACTGGTTTCAATGGAATTTACTTCCAAAAAACTGTATTTTGAATTGCAGTCTTAAATAATTTGTGGATTGTAATAATTACAAAACATCTCTGAAAAACCCGAAAGTTACCTGAAAAGTCAAAATACGAATGGGGTGAATTTCTGCTCCCCACTGCAAGACCTTTGATCTTTTTTCTTTCATGCATCCTCAGTTTATTCATTTACTTAGCAGTAATTCCTGTGGCCAATAGGGCTTCGCAGTGGTTCCCTGTTGTATATTTATGTCACAATAACTCTGTTAAACCTTAAACATTTCAAAGTATTTGCGTAGGTTTACTCAAAAGTAAGCCGCTCTGATTCAGTGGGGTTTACACAAAGTATGCACAGCACTGAGTGCAGAAGTTTGGTAACAACGCCGCCCCAGTCCTCCCCTCGATCCCAAACGCATTTTAACAGTACAGTTCTACGCAGAGCTAGGAGACACCCATAGATTGCTACAGGATTAGGCCACAATCCTATGCTCGGGAGTAAGCGCCACCGAACTCAGTGGGGTTTACTTTTGAGTAGATACGTACAGGATCTCATCGTCACGAGACGCACCTAAACCTGCCTACGGCCTTACCGATTTCACTGGGGCTTACTCTCGGGTAAGTGAGCAGAGAGGTGCAGAGACGACAGCACGTCTGAACTTATGAAGTCAGTCCCATGCAGTGTCAATGAAACTGAGCTCCCACGGCAGCCTGGGAACCTTCCGACGGCGGCTCGTGCCGCCGCCGAAAGCAGAGCGCCGCACGGATTTCAAACCGCGAGGCGAGGCGGCCCGGCCCGGCCGGCCCGCTCGCTCGCCCGCCGCGGCCGGGATCAGGGCCAAGAGGGGGCAGCAGCGCGACCGGCGGCGGGAGGCACGGCCAATGGAAGCTCCTCCTCGTCCCAGAAAGTGAAGGGAAGAAATCGAGGAGTCGCGGGAAGCGCAGTCGTCGTCGTCGTCATCTTCCTAGGTCCCTGGGAAGGGAGCGCCATGTCCCTCCTCCGACACCCCCCTACCCCAAACGTTGCCTTTCCCCTCGTTTGTGGGGGAGGAAGCGAGGGGAGAGGGATCGCTACCTTCGGCTGGAGAGTCCCGCGGCTTCTGGAAACTTTCCCGGGGTTGCTGAGGCGGCCTCTCCGCCTGTGGTGGTGAGGGAAGCAGGGGGGAGAGACAAAAAGAGGGGCGGGTTGAGCTGGCGGCAGAAAGTGCCCCCCCGTAATACCAGCCTTTTCTCCTGCGCTCCCCCCGCCGCCCCCGCCCCACTGCGGCCCCCCGCCCCCCCGAGCGCGGCCGCTGCCCCCTCGCCCGTCACTTCTCGCCCGCCCGCAACTTTTACCTCCGAGTCGGAGCCTGAGGCGCTGCCGCTCCGGTTCTCCGACTCGTTGACCAGCGACGACTTGAGCTCGTCCAAGTCGCCGTGCGCCGAGCCGCGCCCCCCGGCGCCCTTGTCCTGCTCGTCGCCCTCGTCCTGGAAGGGGATGAGCTCGTCCGGGGCGCCCAGGTCGTCGCCGCCGCCGCCGCCGCCGCCCCCGGCCGGCTCCAGCTGAGGCATCGCGCGGCGGGGCCCCGGTGCGGCGGGGGGCCGCTCCCCGCACCCCGCCTGCCTCAGCGCGGCGGTGTCCCGCCTCAGCCCCGTCCCGCCGCCGCCGCGCCGCCGCCGCCGCCGCCGCCCAAACAAAGTTTTGACACTCGCGGGACAGGGAGGGGGGCGGAAAAGACGGCGGCGCCACGGAGCGCTTTCCTGCGGCGTCGAGGGAACGGGAGAGGCGGGAAAGGAGGAGAGGCTGCGGGAGGAGAGGGGGCGGCCCGGCGGCGGCGGCGGCACCCCGGGAAAGGCGAGGGGGAGGCGAGGGCGGAGGGAGGTCCCCGAAAGCCCCGGCGCGGGGTTCCCTGCGTAGCCCACCCGGGGAGGGTCGAGAATGAGAACGAGGGGCCGGGGTGGAGGGGGAGGAGCTCCGCTGCAAGCTGACACCCCGTGCGAGGAGTGGGGGAAGGAGAGGAGGGGACGGGAACGCCCCCCCACCCCACCTTCGCCGCCGCAAGAGGAGGACACCCCCCACCCCACCCCCGCCGCCGCCGCGGCCACCCCTCCCTCCCTCGCTCGCACGCGCCGCCTCTGCCACTTTCGTTGGGGACCCCCCAGCTTGGCGCGCTGCTCCGGCCGCCCCTCCCGCCGTGGGGCCGTGCCCCCTCCCCACATTGCACAGATGTAAATAGGCACTCGCACTCCCCGCCCTCTCATTCTCCCTTCCGCGCTCCTTAATTTTTTGCAAGTATTAGACAAACAACATTACCACTGAGGAATGAGCTGGGTGCGGTGGCGGGGGGGGGATACCAAGAAGGGGGATAGACTAGAAAGGGCAGGTTGTGCAGAAATTGGGGGTTTTCTCCCATTCTTGATGCCAAAAAGGTCACCGTTTAAGCCCCCACCCCCACCATCAATACATCGCTAAAGGTTCTTTGCTGACTCCTCTGTTGTGCATTTCAACAGGCTTTGTTAAGCGATTATTGCAGCCTGATCCAAGGTTTCTTTCGGGATTAAGGCTGCAATCCTAACTGCACTTCCGGGAGAGAGAATCCCATAGAATTCAAAAGGCTTGCTTCTGAATAGACCTGTTTAGGCTTGTGCAGCGTAGCCTTCTGGTTTCAGTGGGACATTGTCCCAGGCATAGAATAATCTTAATGATATACATGTTGAACCCAAAATAAATCTAGCTTGAATTCAGTAGGGCTTAAATGCCAAGCACACATGCTCGGAAATGCACAAAGGATCTGCTACACTTCATACAGAATCTAAAACTCAAACACATTCCTCAACTTTCCTTGCTAGATAAGACATACAAGGAGGTTACGGAAGCAGTGCCCAAACCGAGGTGTACTGTGTATACATCTGCATGTGCATACATCAGAGCAAGACGATGTATGGAAAGACTATCAGTCTCCAGATTACTCAGATTTGAACTCCGACATACCTGACCATTGGCCATGTTGGCAGGGGCTTCCAGGAGCTGAAATCCCCAACAGCTCAACATCTACATTTTGCCCACCGCCACTGCATTAGCGTTCAAATGCATTTACCTCTTCAGCTCAAAGATGTACATTCTAAAGATCTGTAAGAGTGTACTGATGTTTTCCTGTCTGAAAAACCCTACTGGTAACCACATTTTTCAAAGACTTCCCCAGTGCTGGGACAGAATTTTGCCAGCAACACCAATGGAAAATGTCTCTAGTAAACCTCCTGTCTTCCCCCATGTGTAATGCACACAACGTCAAACACCCCGCATTAATGATTGAGCTGTACCCCTAGGAGTAAACCCTGAGCACCCCATCACACCACCTCCACACTGATCCTTCTTTTCTCCATAGTCTTCTCCATGATTTGGCTCTATTAATTCTTGTGCTTAATGGCTAGGTAACACCTGGAACTAACACTGGAATATCACTAGCACTATAGGGTTTATGTTAGGCAGTGAATGACAGCAGAAAGCAGAAAGTGGGTCTGTTCTGAAAGGTGGACCCACCCAGGCATCTTGTCCAAGGGGCCTGCAGAATTTGGAACCACCATGATTTCAAGGGATCATAGAGCAGCCATGTTCTCAGCCTAAACTTTGCACTGGAGACAAATTAGGGAGGAAATCTGTTGCTCTGTACACAGAGTAAAAGTGATTAATAATAAAGATTCCATATGGGGAAGTATTGTGAAAGGAAACGTTCTAAAAAGGCCTATATGAACACAACTTATGACTCCAGCTTTGAAAATATGCCATATTAAATTCCACTGAATACTCATGAGTATTTTATGGGCTTGAGAACTGGACTCTAAAATATTACTGTGTGTTTTCCAATGCAATCATCAAACATGAGTTGTGTGGTCAGGGTCTGAAACAGAGACACATGCAGAATATTCTTCCTCCTCTATAAAAGATTTTCAGCTCAATCTTATGCATGATTACTGAAAAATAATTTCCTAGAATTTAGTCCCAGGTATGTTTACCTGGATAGGAGGGCATGTTGGAGCATTTCCACTCAGAGGGTTGTCATTGTCCACAATGATTTGACAGCACAAGTAAACAATGTTCACATAGGATTGCAACCTCAGTATCATAAACAAATTATTTGATTTTAGCATTTCTATATTACTCATTAGCAATGGGTTGGGGCCTGGTAGTTCTTTTCATCCAGCCTCCTGGGACTTGGGGGGTACATGGAGAAAGGGGCATCTCTGTGAACAGAGAAAATTGAGTGATCTGCTCAAGGGGCAAGAAACTAGATCTCTTCGTGGTCAGATTACTCCTTTCTTCACATGAAGGAAGGGAGCCACAGGGATCGGTTGCATGCCATTATGGACATAGAAAGAGGGACAGCTTTTCTCATTGCATACTGTGAACATGTGTGTGTGTGTGTACGCACGCACATGTGTGAGAGAGAGTATAAATAGTGTGCGTGCGTACCTTGAAGCAAAAACAAAGTTTCCCACCCCTGAAGAAGACCCGGCAATATCAATGGTACATATTTGTTGTGTGCAATAAATCCCTAAATCCTAATAATTTTGATGAGTTTACACTAAACATAAATCTGGATCCCATATCTGGGTGGTGTATGATTTTTAAAATAGAATTTAATCCAAATCTAAAAACATAGAAATATGAGATGAGATCCAATAAAAACAAGTTGAAGCAGCATACCAATTTTTGTCACGTTATCCACTTGGATATTATTTTTGCCAAACTTGAACTTTTGTTAGGGTTCTGTCTGAAAGGGTTGACTTCACACGAGTAAAATGTTTGCCCTCAGCACTCAGGAAAGCCAGCCTGTCTTACAGAGATTGATGCCAGCTCTTTGGTCACTTTACGATCAGCAAATGCAGAGCGGCGGTCTGGGTGCCAGAAGTGGCACGAGCAAAATTGTTCCCCACAAGCTCAGCTGTCATGCACACTGGATATACTGCCACCAATGAACTCATGACTTGCCATGTCAGGCTACAGTTCTTAGAATTCAGTTGTCCTTCCACCTTTTACCAAGGATGGACAAACCCTCCAAATGCTTTCGCCCACGACCTTCATCAACCCCAGCCGGCACAGCCAACGATGAGAGCCCATGGGAGTTGTAGGACAAAATATCTGGAGGGCCACAAGTTGCTGTTCTCACTGTATACTCTTCCACTCACTGGATACACCCAGGAGTATCCCCCTGAGCAGCCTTGCTTCATCAGCTCTGGTAGTAGATTCCGGTCTTAGAAGGAACCTGTTTGCTTTTTGGTGTGCTGATGAAGTCGCTGCATATATTTAGCATACAGACTGGATTTGGGAGTTTTTAATACTTTGTCACAGGTTTACCTTGGTGTGGCAACATGCTGTTACATAATGACCTTGTTGTCTTTTAGACACAGAAAATGTTAAAGCTCACAAGAAATTCACTGGAGTTCTTGCCAGAGTTAAATGGTAGGACGCTGTCCACAACAAATTATGAAACTGCTTTCTAATTGGCTGAACTGAGCAAAAGTTGATTGCACCCTAGGTAATGTTTTGCATGCCACAGAGTTCCAGCTAGCATGCCTGATACTGACAACAGGAATTCGTCAACGTCCTATTTTCTTGCTTTTAAGCGATGAACTTGTTCTAAACTAGTTTTATGTTTCTTAAAAGGTTTTAGTGGGTGTGAGTGGATGGGCATTGAACATGATAGCCAGGGTCTGTATTTGGGCCATAAATCTGATCTAAAAACTGCTAAAAATTGAACATTTTGTCTGTTCAGCCTGAGGGAAGCCCCCTGGGTTTTGCTCTTTCTGATGTCATTGTTAAGCATCCAGGCAAATGCTGCCAGGAGCTAGAGGGGCTTTTGCTCCCGGTGGTAAAAAGGGGAGGGATCAGAAATTTCAGGATATCATATATGTGACAGTGCTTCCAAACACTTGGCCTTAAGGTAGCTTTCTTTTTGCCTGCTGAATGAAATCCTGCACATCTGACACAGGCCCCTTTTCTCTTCCAGAGAATTCTAGGGCACATGCAGACATGTGTCACATTGGACCTGTGGTACCACTGGACCTCTGGGGCAAAGTTCATCATGCCACAGTCCAAGGGCACCCAGATCACCACCCAGAATCGTAGAATAGTAGAGCTGGAAGGGGCCAAGAAGGCCATGGGGTCCAACCCCCTGCTGATGCAGGACACCAAGTCACGCCATCCCACTCAGAGGGCTGTCCAGTTGCATCGTGGATGCCTCTAGTGTAGGAAAGCCCACCACCTCCCTGGGCAATATGTCCATTGTCATACTGCTCTGACAGTGAGGAAATTTTTCCAGGTATCTACCTGCAATCTGGTTTCCAGTAACTTGAGTCCATTATTTCATGCCCTGCACTCAGGGATGATTGAGAAGAGATCCCGTCCCTCCTCTTTGTGACAGCCTTTCAAGTATTTGTACAGTGCTAACATATCTCCCCTTAGTCTTCTCTTCTCCAGGCTAAACATGCCCAGTTCTTTACCTCTTTCCTCATAGGGCTTTTTTTCCAGTCCCTGGATCATCCTTGTTGCCCTTCTCTGAACCCTTCCCAGT